CATGACCTCATATACTCATTCGTCGTTTGACACACAGTAGCGAACAAGAGGAGCCTTTGGGGATGAATTGGGCCGTTTATTAATCCCGACAAGCGTCATTTCATGATCGACCAGTCCCGTTGCACTTCTTTTTTCTAATCGTGGGGCAAGCCGCTCAACATTGCTGCTTGGGACATATGTACATGTCATAGCATGGGCCTCAACCGTGGACACTCAGACATCACAGACCAAGCCGAAGCTAGACAGGGCTATGAAACGCCAGCCATCCCACTGACGATCATTCCCCCTTCCAGTTAGGGTTGCATCTATCGGAAGCAGATGGTCATCTATCGAAATTCTTTTCGCCGTTGCCGTTATTTCGGTCGCTGGGGTCAACTGTGCTCTGGGAACAGGCGAAGACATGGCGAATGATTTGGTAGCTCTAATAATCCGTTCAAACAATTGATATGCCTCAATCGCCACAGGGAAACAATTCTCGACCTCTTTGTCTAGTAAAACAGTTTTCTCCGACGGAACTAATGGATGAGCACACTACTTGCGGAACTAGCCGAGTTTTTTTGTTCTTGTTACGTGTTTCATGTTTGTCTAATTCATTTTCTCTTCTATTTCAACGAACCTTGTTCCTGGTTTAGGTCTGAGAGTTGAGGAAACGTTCGGCCTCGTGGATGGGATGGCCGAGAAATTGAGCCTTGCGCCCGTGCATTATAGTAGTCAATCGCCATGTTGCACAACTCAACTTTTGATGGCTCAAGCTCTAGGTCCACTAGTCTTCATTTCTAACCCCATATGCAAGGTCGCGGGGTCTCATATCGAAGTCTATTTCTTCTAAAACTACGACTTTCTGGCTCGCATCTCTATCAAGTCAAATCGAGCCGTGGAACCCGATATGCCCTATGGATTGGTTGTCCTGCCTACTCCCGTCCTTTCTGTGGCCTGAACACGTTTGGCCTGATTCCTTCTTCAGCTGCTTGCATATGCATACTAGATCGGGTATGAGTAATAGCGATGACAGTTATCTGTGCGCTTGATCTCTTGGAGCTTTTGCAGTAATCCCAGTACTCTGTGACCTGGGACTTGTCAGTAGCATCGGGAGTCAAAAAGCAAAATACGTGGATGACGGACAGCATAAGGTGTACATCTCGGTATGCCTTGATGTTGAAAAGGTGAAAGGATCCTGGAGCAATGCGGTAAACTGCAGTATCTGACCAATGCCCTAATGCCGCAACTGGGTACCTAGGCAGCCAACGTCCCAAACGTTCCGTTAGCCCGCATTCGTCTTCGTCATGTCTGTGATTGAAGAGCATGATAACAAAGCAACTGCAACATCATTCATCATGTCTCAACAGGAATGTACGTTTCCCGTCCCGCTGTCATGGCTGCACGATAAAACATGGGCAACATTTTACAATAACCGAAAACCTGTCGTGGGAATATAATTTCTTCAGTGAGCAGTCACATAGCAGTATCAATTACAGGCGCTGCCCGGTCCGGGACAATCTATGACCTGCGATATCACTGTTAAAATTAAACCGCGGGCCGGTACTACGATCACGCATACAGAAACCAGCTCGCCGGAGTTACTTGTCGTTATCGACATCCGCGGCTCATGACTTGTAGGGGGGATGCGGAGGACGCAACTACTGCTAGATGCAGATATTAGGAAGCTGGCCATCCGTAAGGGTCATAAAAGCCGCAACGCCAGCATATTAGTGGACGTGCAATAACATCATCTATAAAGCCCACGAGGCTTACCGCCAGGCTCCAACTTCAATGATAGAGGTTTAGTTTGCGCAGATCACTCGTACGTTGTCTCCCAGTTCGGACACCGGAAACACCCTGTTCAGACAAGGAAGTGGACATAGGCGCACTCGTGAACAGCAAAAACACGGCGTGGAAAAATTCGTCTTGTGGTAGGCTCAAATTAGACCTTCCCTCGTCCACTTGGGACCCCATGCAACATCCATTCTAGTCAGAAGGACAAGGGGCAGCGAGATACCTGTCGCCGAAACAATGGAGAACACAGAAAACCAAAACTACGTGCCCAGAATCATTCAGCCACTCTATGTGGTTCTGCACGAGGCCTGTCACTAAGAACCATTGTAGCAGGGACATCATGTCTATACATTTATACAAACGCATGTCTATGAAAACGCCACACTGTAATTGCCATGCCAGTAGAACAATGACTCGAATCGACCAGATTCAAGGCAGTCCGCCTCCGTGTCCAGGGTATATCGAATCAATCATCCGCCTCCCGCGCGGTACAATCATAAAACACAGAACCACCCAGCCGCAAGTAGATCCCATCCACTACATTGAATCTTCCATTTGCCGACTTCTCGTCTTGGACCAGTTATCTTTGTCCTCCTTGCCTCCTTGGCTTTCCAACCCCATGCCTCGCTCGACCCATTCTTTGCTCTCCATGTGCTTGAGCCGACTCAGTGCTCGCATAAATGCAAACGCTTCTTCTTCGCCTGCGAAAAGGTTTGAATTCTTGAGCTCTTCGGCCTGTCGGTCCACGTCCTCCATTAGCTCCTTAACAGTAGACACCACTTTTTCCTTCTTTTCAATGCTCTGAGGATTGTTTTTTAGCAAAGTCTCTGCAATTTCGTCCTTCGATATGAAGAGCTCTGTCAGTGGCTTTTCCGTGGTAAGGACTAGTTTCGCGTTGCCCTCGTAGACGGCGTCGATGAAGGTGATGAATCGACGGGCTAGGTCGCGCTCACGGATTGTCATTCCTGGCACATCGGTAACGATGAAGGAGTCATATGCACGCACGAGTTCGAGGTAGTCGGCGGCGGATTTCGGTTGTCGTATTAGCTCGTCAAAGGTGAACCAGGCGCACCTGCCGCTAACCCGGGGCACGTATATTTCTCGTCCCCAAACCTTTTGAGTCTCTGAATGTGGCGGGTTGTCTGAGGAATCCCCAAGGAAGCGAAACCACTTCTCAGCATGAGAGTTGGCGTGGCCGTCGAGTGGTGTGTGATATACTCCTGACGGCGGCCGAGGTATTTTTCGATAGTCTATGGGCGAGTCAAGATTGATAACATGTAGTCTACTCTTTAGGAGCTTGATGGCGGGGATGAAGGACTCTCGTTGAATGCCATTCTTGTACAGGTCATCCGGGTGACGGTTGGATGTCGTGACTAGGACGACACCGTGGGACATTAGACACTCTAGCAGTCTACCCAACCTTTAGATTAACCAAGATCCCCGACACGGAAGTTGAACAGATGGTTTTCGGCTTTGGGCCATCAAGACTTACCTTCGCAGGATCATGGCATCTGCCACATCGGTGCACTGAAACTCGTCGAAACACAATACATTTCCGTGCTCGGCAATATCCGCTGCAACAAAGGGCACAGCGTCCACATCCGTCCCGTGCTGCATTTTCAATTTATGCAATCGCTTGTGTACATCTTGCATGAAGTTGTGGAAATGGATTCTGGTCTTTGTCTTGACGGAGCTTGGGAGCGTGTCGTAAAACAGATCCATCAGCATCGTCTTGCCGCTGCCCACATCGCCGTACAAATACAAGCCACGAGGTAGATTGTCTGGGATGTCGCCAATGGCAGATTGTGCTTTTCCACTTGAGCCAAATATCGACGAGAAGACTGATTTCCTGGCTGGCTTCAAAAGGTCAAGGCTGGGGTGTTTAACTTTAGGGGCGTGATAGTTGCGCAGCTCATCGTACAAATTTTGCAGACTTTCAATAATGCCTGGATGAAGAGGAGCGTTAACCTCGGCCAGGAAACACTGCGGGGTTCTATTCCCTTATATAGGACAATTTTTTAGTCTCACCTCGTTGATGGTCATCATTCCGTAAAAGGCCGTTCTCTACCCGTCTATCATACTCTGCTAAAGGGCCCTCTCCATGCAGCTGGCTTTCCACAATGGTTGCTGCTGTTCGAAGGCCTATCGTGTATGGCGGAAGCGCAGTTGGCGCCGGCATGGATGTCTGGCATGTCGGGAAATGTTTGATTGCAGTCGGCCGATAGCCTATTCGCCCGATGCAAGAGAAATAGTGCCCCGTAAATCGTCGGTCGCGAGAGTGGTGTAACCCAGCTCGAAGCTGACGTGCCGCAACTTTTGACGACGCGACGCCGCCTCGCATCATGGATGACTCTGCGTAATGCAGATCAATCGAGATTACAGAGTTGCAGGGCAGCAAGAGTGTCAGGAGTGTGCCATGAGGCTAGCGACCAGTCCGAGTCAAGGAAGTTGTGGTACAGCGGCGGCTCAGTGATTTGGCGATATGTTGTCCATTGTCGGCCGTTTGGTGGTGGTTCTAAGGCGGAAAGAAATGGAGCTGATAAGTCTTCAGCCGGGGAATCCGACGTCACGAGCAGGACCAGCCGTTGGAGTCGCCGCGTAATTTGAACCTTCGGAGCCAAAACAAGGGTCGAGGTGACATCCCCTCTGGTGTGCGAATGCTCCAGTGATGTATCTACGGGGATAATACGTACACCAAATAAAAGCCGTAAGATAAAAGTTACTTTAGTCCACACTTAAATTCTACTATAATAAAGGCCATAATAAGCATTTAAGTTATAAAAAGCCACATCATACATCGCTAAATCTAAGCTACCATTAATGTCGCTTGAGGTCACTATCTGTAGCCGGGTTATTGTGGGTCCTTGACCTGGTTGGAGCCTTCGCACACTATGAGGGGATCTCCGCGGTTTAAGCGAATGAAGCCGTTGAATTACCCTAAAGTTCTAACTACAAACAACCAAGATTAACTTGTCCTCAAATTCCAATCGATTACTTCATTCTCTTCGCTATACCTCCTTCGCTGGCCTTTCCGTTGAACGAGGATGAACTTATTTTCAATCAGTCGGTTCATAGGACCACTTGCAGAATTCGTAGCATCCTATGACCCAGTTATTCAAGCACTTGATCCAGACGCCACGCTACTCCACGGGCATTCCAGTACACCCCGAATAGGCAGAACCACTTCCATTGCCAGTCCATCTTACATGATATCGTCCGAAAATATTTTATGCGCTCAAAATGATAGCTCCCCAGGCAGTGGCCAGCGCTAAAAGAGAAACACGCAGAGCCCCAGCAGCGCTCTTATCATCCTTGTCCTTGTCATCGTTCTTGCTGCCACTTGGGCTCGGAGACTTGTTTCCAGTCACATCTCCGCCATACGGAGAATTGCCAGGAGTGACACCTCTAGCCAACCCGCCAGCCCTTTTCTTGTAGTCATCTAGGGTTTCTGTGCCGTTCGGATTGACCATGCCGACCATGCCTTTCGGACATTCATCACCCTGGGAGGAGTAAAAGGCCAAGGGATCTGTGTTGTTCACTGTCACGCGGAAAACCTTGTCCTGAAAATATCTTAGCTTCATACTCAGCATGCATTTACGGCAACAATACAAAAAGGACGTACTGCTTCGCCGCTTTCTACATGCATAAACCCAGAGAAGAACCCGCTACCTATTGGGAGAGGTGAACAAGGGTACTTGAAGTCGCCTGCTACAACACTGTGGTTCTTAGGCTGGAAGTGAAACTCGAGGACATCGCCCTTTTTTGCGGTGACTGAGTTTGGGTTGAATGTGTTGTCGTTTTGTGCCGTGATCTTGATAGTGTCCGCCTGGGTCATGGCCACCAATGCGCAGACCGCGAGCGACTTGAGGGAAAGCATCGCTGCTAGGTCTTGAATGATGATTGAAATGTATGTCGTGACTTGTAGGATGTTCGGCGTTGGGGAGAAGAGGGAGTGATGCGTTTGAGACGAGATGGCACCGAGTCTGGCCTTTATACCGCTGCATGTGTCACCGCACGGAATATACTCGGGAATTATATGACGAGGAAAAATGGCTGTTTCTAAGTAGACATCGTATTTTTAGCTTCGATACCTACCCAAGTGCGTAAATAAGGGGTAGCTAGGTACCCTGGAAACACAGAGAAAAAAAAAAAACATGGCCAAGGAAATGACAGGGTACCGCGTACGGAGAAGACCAGGCAGAACATGACCACCAAGATGCTGCCACGAACAAACTGTTTTGAAAGCGGCCAAGTGTCATTGGGCTGTGGCCCAGGGCGTGCTCGGCTTTCTAAAGTTAGAAAGTTGGGCTCAAATGCATTCTTGGGTAGCGTCTGGACTCCATCTTGATGTTGATACGGAGTAGCTGGACAAAGCCGGCGCAGCAGTCGGTGAGCCTCTGAGTGAGTGACACGAGCCAGAAGGAAGGAGCTACCCCGGTGCCAGCTACCTCACAAAGCTGCACACAGCGACACAGTGTGGTGCGCGCTCCGCCAAGCCCATTCACCCCTGATTCAGTGTGGTCTGGTGCAAATGTCAATAAATGGCATCTGACTCTTGGGGGCTTTCTTCTCCATCCCCCAACTTACCATCGCTTGACTGGCCACTTTGCACTGCTCTGAACTTGCTGACACAATTACGAACAACATCGTTTCCAGGCTGAGCGATTTTTATTCCCCATCTTTGGAGTACTGACACCCTTCATTTCGATGCACAACCCCAGTGACCCACGACAAAATTGGAAATGTACCTGGCAAACAGAAGTCTAAACAACCAAGAGAGTATGGTCCGCGTTTCACTTCAAGTCCCAGAAGACTCATAGGTAATTCATCGGCTACCTGCTACCTGTGCCAGGAAATACAGCCTGTGCCACGAGACATCAGAACTGATCAATGTTTTACAACGCATTGCCCCACGGCGATGCTCTCCAACTGACCCGGGACGCACGAACACGAGGCCCTTGCGAGGCACGTTGCTTCCCTGGGCCGCACGGTCTATTTGATGGATCAGGTTACCAGGCCAGGGGCGTTGAGTGACGCCTATTTTCCCATTCAATCATGAAAGTAGTTGAGGCACCACCGTATGGCCCAGCGTCTTATTACGTGGCTAAGCACGGTTTTTGAGTTTGATCATCGTGAATACAGCCGTCTTAAGACACCAAGTGAGTCGCTTTTTCGTTTCGTTATTCTTTGTTCAATTCGAAATTTGGCACCATCGCTAAGTACGGTGTGAACCTTTGTTGCGGATCAAACACTTTTTAAAGTAGGGTCTGACTGTGAAACATTCTTGTAATTATAGAGTCTTGTCAACCTCCACCAACATTGTCCCGCCGCTGACTGAATGAAGAGCCCTAGGCCCAAAGCATCCATCCGACACTAAATGTGTCGAACATCCAGACAGCATAAATCGATCACCAGACTGGATAGGCAACAGCAATCGGATACAATTTGATTTGCCAGATAGGTCTTGTGGGGTGGGAATTTGCCGAATGGAGACTGAATGAGTCGCACGAAAAACCAAATCGAGTTCCAAATTGATACCATTGTCTTTTATGCCACCCCTTATCAACACTCGGTTGAGGGCATGCAGCGAACGAGGGTTCTTGATAAGCGCAATCAGGTCTTTTTACTGAGCAGTCCCTGCGAAATCGGAAAGTTTTAAACTGCATAGAGAGTACGGGTTCTCTTCCTCTCGGCCATTTCGCCTCACTAAATCAAGGACCCAAGATTGAACCGTTCATCTAGGATAACTCAAGTCTCCTAGAGCGGCACAAAGCTAGATGCAACTCTGATATTAAGATGAAAAAAGGTGTTAGATGCACTGTTACATGAATCTACTTTCGATGGAGTCAGATTTTGCGTTGGTAATTATTCGCCGCAGATATACGCAACTCCGATAATTCGTACAACCAGATCCCTTTGTCTTGGGTCGGCAGAATGGTTGATCTTTTGGAGATTTCCCATGCAGCGTTACCATCTCAGACTCAATTTCAGTAAGTGTATTTAAAAAGTTACCAAACATACCTCTCGATCAGTACTGGCATTTGTCGCTTGGTAGATTGGGTAGCATCCTGAGTTTTACGACTTTGATGCTTGTTACGCTGGCTCGCGTGATTCAGGAAACCTTGGATGTGGTTATTAATGATATAACAGACACAATCAAGTGACGAAGAGAGTCAACAGTAACGTAGGTTTCGTCTGTTCCACTACGAGGTACATCTGGCCTCATTTAAGGCAAGGGTCGCAAAGATGTTTAGAAAGAAATCCATTACTGTTCTAGCTAAGCATATCATATATTGCTCCCAAACCCTTGTCCCTCAACTGACCCTTCAAAATATGCAGGAAAAATCGATGTATATGGGCAGTAATAAACTACCGACAAGCAATTTCTGACATCACAACAAACATCTGGCTGCAAGTGCAGACCACATACTCTTGAGGATTAAGCCGACGGAGATTAGTGTATATGTCGACTACATATTGGATTCTGCCTCGAGGTTTCTGCAAATATGCCATACTAAATCTCACGTCACTGCAGCACGGTGGCGAGAGTCTCGGCGAAGGGCTGCTCGAAGTTGGAATCCATTCATGTCCTAATAAATTGCTGGAATATGGTCGCCCCAATTCAGTCCCCCCTAGTTGGGAATTCTGCGGCAAAGCAGGAGCGCCACACCAACAGGGACATCAATGCCAGACAGTCTATTTGCAGATTCCCCATAATCGGAATAAACCACCAAAGCAGCCAACGGAGTTTCTAAGGACAGTGAAGTCCCGTGTGCTCTACTACTACGATAGCAGCTTGGCCAAATCTCTGTACATTGCGAGTCCATTTCGATCCAGCAAAGAAGGTACTCATGGGCTTCTTTTACTTTTCAAGTGATTGCTTATATTTGTGCTTGATCTTATAAACTACTTAGTACCTAGGCAGTCGGCCACGAAACTCAGGCCACCCGCGACCTGGCCCGGTTAGTTAGCAGCGCCGCTCTTGCTCAGGCTCTAATCACCCTTGCTCTGAAATACACTATCCAAATCTGGTGAGGGGAGGAAGAAGTTCAAAGCTTTGCTGATCGCGGAGTTCCTAAGAATTGCCAACATATCATCTCGAAACTGACCTGACCTGCGATCAGCCACAATCGACCGAATCTCGCTTTCCAAGATGGCGAACGCAATACCCGCATCAACCGGCGCTTTGCCGTTCGACTCTTACCAGGCGTCTCTCACCCCCCGCTACGGCAGCCTCGCCATGTCCCAGCTCTTCAGCCAGCGATCTCAATTTGGCGTAAACTATGGCTTAGCCTCGCTGAGAGTGGGAAAGAGTCTGGGATTGATACGAAAAACGACGAAGCTTTGAAGCAGATCTCACCTTATGGTCACCGATGAGGACTTTGACGTCGCCCGTATCGAGGAGAAGAACCATTGACGTGTGAAGTGTGAGCCACGGTATTACCTCTTCATCCCCTTTATCAAGGCAGAGATTTTTGCTTATCGAACAACTACTAGGATATCATGGCGGTAAGAACGTCTCGTCTCGCGACTAATGACACTGGCGAATGCTGAACGCTATGATAGCATGTCCACGCCTTTGGAGCCGTTGCCTCTGCGACCGCGGTTATTCTACATCTGGGTGTGGCCAGCTGTTTCAACCAATTACACCGCTTATTTTAGCCCGGGACGTCATGGACTTGATTTGTGAAATGATTGCCAAGGTTATCGCCAACCTCTCTGCCTTCGCCCTCCTGTAGAAGAGCGAGCCGACGCTTGCTTATACGCACTTGCAATTGGCCCAGCTTATTACAGTTGGAAAAAGAGCGGCGCAGTGGGTTTTAGACCTCATGCTCGAGCTCCGTGCCATCGAGCAGATTCGCCAAGAGCTTAAGCGCCGCGGCGCTCATGGGGCAAAAATGCCGGCCAGCTTCGTCTCCATCCTCGAGGACGATACTTGAAAATGTAAACGGTTGAATGAACTTCTGTGCCAGAAGTTTGGGTCCCCAGGGTGCTTTGATATTTCCATCAAGATTTATCCCCACCAGGTCGACCTAATCATCGCCCACGCGTGGAAGGACCTAGACCTACAGCTCAGAGGATCACTGGAGATATCCAACATCTCGTTCATTGGAAGGAGGCCGTTTGAGTCTCCTCAAGCTGGCAGCAGTGCCATTATAAGAAAATCCTGGTAATTAACACTTCCTCATTGCGATAAAGAGAGATAGAGACCTGCACTACTGGAGGTTCCTCCACTTTTAGTGCAGCTGATATAAGCCACGACACGCATGTTGGTGATCACTCTCGCTGATTCGGCCAAGATGTGCTCGGAGTGAGTATATAGTTTAGCTCACGAGTTGATAGCAAGGCAAACAAGCTTATCACTATCGATCCTCGAACTTAAGGGAAACTGACTTGGGAAGCCGACATCTTTCGCAGCGACTCACAGCGATCAGCAGGGCGAACCCGCGATGACTCAGATATCTGCCGTAAGCACATCTTGAAGTACATCTCCATTCGAGCCCAAGGCTGATGCCATCATAGGAATTGATGTTCCGGAAATGTTCCTTCTTGTAGATGCAATCTGTATTAGTTACGTAAGCTCATCCTCATCCCCTAGAAGCAGACACGTCTAACGCATATACAGGACAATATCACCGATGGTCCCGTGATTTATTCCGGTATGTAACCCCCTTCGACGCCAAAAATTTGTCCCCGAACTGGTCTGCGGGAGAGACATCTTTACTACGTCCATGATCAGACTACTTGAAGTCCAGGAAAGGATATGCTGACATTGCGGGTACTTTCTAGTCGCCATTGCCAGTCGGATAGCCGCCGAGGTGAGTCGTAACGCTATTCTTGGCTGATTCAGGTTTTCAAGCCTACAATACTAAACCCCCATTTGTAAGCTACCATTCATGATTACAGAAGAGATCATCATGAGGTTGTGTGCCAAGGGCGTCTCGAGACAAGACGCCGACGAGGAAATCAGCCTTGAGCCATCAGGCCAGCGCCATCGTCAAGCAGGAAGGAAAGCCGAACGGCCTGGTGGAGAGAATCGAGGCCAACGAGTTTTTCGAGCCGATTTGGGGCGAGCTGGGTGGGATGCTAAAGGCGGAGCTGTATACCGGACGCCGCAGTCAGATCGTGGAGAAGTGCTGCGGTTCTGGCGGACCTGTTGAGAAGGCTGTTGCCCCGTACGTCGACTACATCAGGGGCATCACCATGGCCAAAATCAATGTCTAGGCATCTAGAGGAGGCCGTGATATATGAGTACTTTGTCGCGAAATACGTACAAGATCTTTTCTGAGTACCCATCAAACCACCACTCTGGCCGATATACTTGAAGACGTTGATGTGCAGGTCGCTGGAGTGTGTCTAGGATCGGAAATCTGGGCGGCTCAGGTTAAAGCAGCGACAGGTCAAGCTCTGCACTAGAAACGGATCTGGCCGTCAAGAATTGTCGGGAACGACTACTGAGGTATACACGTCATGCCCCTGGTTTGTAATGGGATGGGGCTAAGAATGTCATTGAGGCCACCATGCGGCACATACTCCGTACAACGGCCGCTATTTGACAACTAGTAGCTGGGCTAAGTGTTCTGGCGTGGAAAGAATCAAGCTAGCCAGTAGTCTATGCCCCAAACGCTTTCTCCCAAGGATATGACATGGCTCTGTCACCGTCGTCACAAAAGGATGTTGTGCCTATGTCGACATTATCGAAACGGCGATTAGTACGTGCCTAAGCTAGCAGTGGCCACATGAATACTAACAAACCGGATGTATCTTCCAGGGACGGATTGAGAGTCATGATGACCAGAATAAATCTCGCATACCTAGCGGGTGCTAATACGAAGTTGTTCCACTCTGTGCGCTTGCCATACTGGAGCTTGAGAGGGAGAAGCGATCATTTCGCTGTACACCATGGAGATTCATTAGCTCTCCTGATTCTTGCCAGAAAGATACTAATATCTTGTCTGCGCGGAAAACAAGGTGCCGACGGCCCTCGCAACTTGGGCGAGAGTGGAAGAATAGGGTATTAAATACTATGTTCCAGTTGTACCCGCAACAGACCTACTCTCAGAAGCTGCGAGCCACAGCGTATTGTATTCAATCTTGGATATGCACAATTGCACAAGAGGAAGAGACTACTTACGCAATGGTTGGAGCCCCTAGACGGCAAATTGCAAAACAGGGCACTCGTTACTGGTGTTGAACTAAGAGGGCTATGGTTATGGAGGCAGGGATTCACAGTGAGCTGTGAGAAGTAAATGAATCAATTGGACCGATCACTTCAGCAAGTCTTATGACAGGGCTGGGTACGGTTTTAGTTTGGGGAGATGGGGGTTGAAATGACGGACTTGGATCCGGATATTTCATTGCCAACATCGGAAAGCACGCGGTCAACAGCAACGTGTGGCTGGTACCCGTCAACGTTCGATTGGACAGTGCACCTGGTACTCGAGGGTGTGCCACAGTGGCACCAATGAAGCAGGCCTGGGACAAAAAAAAATTCCGATGTGGCCCCCAGGGCGGTACGCGGGTGGCTGCTGGATCACGATGACACTACGGAGTAGCAAAGGCCAAGTCCATTCCGTAAGGCTGTGTCCATGGGGGAGGCTAAAATACCGAGGTACACCAGACAGGCCTGCTATGGAGTTTGTTCCATTCCCACCCGGCTCAATGTGTCGTTGCGCCGTCGCGCGGGGCCAAAGTTGGGCCGCCTGGAGGAGCTACGGTAGCAAGTCCGAGACGTTGGAACGGGCCAACGACTTTTTGTTCTGGTTTGATCATGGTTCTCTGTTGGTGGCGAGCCACAGGGTGAAAGGCCGTGTCCAAAAGCTAATGTTCTCACACCCTCCCATCCGCACACCAATGCACTGCACATGCGGGCAACTGCAAGCTGTACATGTCTTCCTTGGTGGCTTGAAACGGTCAAGTGTGGATTGCCCCTTGGCTAGCCAGCAGCCAGCCCAAGGGTTCATGTGCCAAAACCACGAACAAAGAACATCGTGGTCGACTGCCAACACACGGACGGCTACAGGATCACCATAGCGACACCAAGTCAAAATCAAGAAAGCCGATCAGGGTTGACGACGCCTTGTTTTGGCGAATTCAAGAATATGCATCGTACGCCATGAGTCGTTACGGTGCCCTTGCAGAAGCTCTAAATCTCGTCTGGACATTCATTACTCGTGGCCAAGACCAAAAGTGCACATTTTACTTTTGGCCCATCAGCGTACAGCGTCTATTTTTGTCAAAGCCAAGGAAATGCCAACTAATTAATCGTCTTGCATCGTTTTTTCAATATTCGGCTACATACTTGAGCCCTAACTCTGAAATTCCACGTCCAACACACCTACACAGCTACCCACCCGTGGCGTTTTCACATATTCACACCCCCCCAGACACAGTCACAACACAGGCAGGTCATCCTTCTGCCAGCTTCGAATCCAGAAACTGGGGCCGATGTCTGTTCATACTCCCCTGGTTACTAGCGTCTTCAGTTTTGAATATCCCCGCCTGTTAGCCACCAGACGACAACATTGGGTACCCATGGGCATTCTCGACCGCCAGCCAGGCTCACTTGGCTGTAGTCTCCTGCCGAGGGTTGGTGGTCTCTCGGTGCCTTGAATCAAGTAATTTCTTCTTTTAGATCTTGTTGGAGATCCGCGGATCTGGACCGATATCTTGTGTGGGCTGCCAATTTTGATACAATTACGCCCGTCGTCTCCGTCTATGCCGGATCCTCTTGACCATCTCCCTACATATGTGTGTCTTTGGGCCCTTTGATGTGGACATTATAGTCCCTTTTCAGCTTCTTATTACCATTATTGCCATATATACCTCATCACGGTTCTGTACCTCGACTTGGCTGCTGCAAACTCTGTTTTCCTTCTCTTATCACCCTAACAAAAATTCCATACCCAGAAACCTGTCTATTGCTTTCACAGCTGCCCGGCTAAACTAACCCTCTCCTCTCCATCTCGTTCCGCCCATTCCCAACTTTGTGCGACAGCATCGCGTGCCTCTTTGCCTACGAAGACGCCGTCTGCTGCCGACTAGATGACTACTCCGGCAGTAAGTTCCAAGTCTACAGTGCCACTTCGAAATGATTAGGAGGCTACCTTGCCTTTCTTCTTGGATCATGTCTAACACTCTGTGTCTCCTGTCGTCACCAGCATAAGGCCAACCTGGCTCGGATTCGTGATAATCAACGGAGGTCCCGCGCGCGGAGGAGGGAGTACTTGCAGGAACTCGAGCAACGACTGCGAGTCTGCGAACTCCAAGGTATCGAAGCCTCTGCCGAAGTGCAAATGGCTGCCAGGAGAGTCGCGGATGAAAATAAACAGCTCCGGGAACTCCTAAGCAGATACGGGGTTACTAATGAGTACATTGCTCATTACTTGCACGCATCCACAGCAAACAGTTGCGAGTCTGGTCGGGCACAACCAATCCGTCTCGGAGAGGCAGGAGTTGCCATACAATCCTTGAACCAAGCAATGCTGCCTCGAAGAGCGGCGCATCTTGAACAGACTATCCAGTTTGCTATACCGAGCCAATCTAGTAGAGAGAACTCAATAGCGAGCGCCTCTACGACAAACTCTTCTGCTTGGGAGCCATCACAGCCAACCATGTCTTATAACCATCACCCGCAGCAGCTTGGCGGTGTTTCACCAACAGACCATCATCATTATTCTCCATCAGCTTTTTCGGCACAGACAGCTGTGCCGCAATCAGATCAGTTCCAAAGTACATCTGGGCGGATGGTGAACGACTCGCGGCACGACGTGGCCACAGGTCAGCCAATCCCTATCGATAATCGCTCAACGATGAACTATCAGTTTTCAATGAATCCCTACAACGACCCAACGAACCGATATGGACCTCACGGAGGACCTTTCTGACAACGACGACGAAGCATGCCCATATTGTTGCTTTGTCACTGATGGGGGGTTTTGTTAACAACAACGGAGCAGAGAAGCGCGGGGCCTGTGCTGAAATTATTGGCACTTTGGGCTCTCGAGCGTCACATTTGACCACCAGCTTAATCAGTCCGCAATATTGCTGAGTGGAGGGGGCCAGGAGCTGGAATTGACTTTGATCCTCTGGGCCTGCTTACCGGACCAGCATCCCTTGACTATTATCAGACGGAATAAATACCCCGTAAGCAGTCCGACCCAACCTTGAACGTTATTCAGGATGCACCAGTGCAAACCATCAACGGAATACGAAAGGCTCAACCACATGGCTCGAGCTGAACCATGACGGCCCGCCGGTAGTCGGAAGCCGGTAGGCAGTATAATTATGTTGTAGTGACGGGACACCAGTGGAAGTATGGCTTGACGAAATTCCAAGGCAGGCGGTGGAAATTGTTCAAGATTCGGTTAGAGCCGCCAGACAGCAGCATCACGGCATAAATCAACATTCTCCACAAAATGTGCGAGAAGTACGGCGAAATTCGAATCAAGGCAAAGAACGGCAATGGATTTGGAGCAAGGGAATGCAAGGAGAGCTCGACCAACAGGCGAAGAAGGGGGTTTCTACACGATGGGCGAGTGCCGCAAGACTGGGCTTGTGTAATCTAACGAATTACGGAATGAAGTCGAAGAATTGGACTGAACGGGGTTGACGAAGCGTGACACCCGCAGTCCGAGCGAGTTGTGCATTCATCTCAGCCACGCCAAAAAGGGTGTGGTAAACCTGGGTTGTTAATTGGTGAGGTGATGTTGCCAACGGAGTCGGTCAAATTCACGGTGAGCTCCTAATCCCATAAGATTAAAACCTGACGAGGAGGAGAAGAAAGTTGTGAAGAAAAAAAAAGAAAAAAAAAATGCAGAGAGAGAGACTTGTCATCTGCGCTTCCTCCTTAGCTTCCTTTTTTTTTTTTTTCCTCCTCTTTTTCTTCGGCGCATGACTTTATTCTTTTCAAGCGCAGACGGTTCAGGACGGGTGTTACCGGGCAAAATAAACAGAGTCACAGCAAGGCGCCATAGAAGAGTGCCGGGAAACCCCTGGATGGTGTGTAGCACAATAACATACTAAAACATACGCCAGAGATAGTGAAGCCGCCAATATCCCTGCGCATCGGGAGTACAAAACGAGAGAAGCAGTTGAGAGCCGAGTCAGATGGTTGCCGGCGGCGACATCAGCACTGCGGGAGCAGCCAAGCACAGGCCTGTCAAGCTGGAGAGGGGTGAAGAACAGCAAACAGGAGAAAACAATTGGTTATAAACTTCAACAAGTACGACTACAAGCGTGACGATGAGGCATGCGGAAGGAGCTGTGGCACAGGATGAAGCAGAGGCTCATGCAGTATCGAGTCAGGAAGCTGCAGGGACGGGATACGCCACAAATTGGGGTAGTAAGGATCGTGGACTCGTGGGGACTCGATTGGATCGTGGGTGGCTGATGTCTCAAAGCTAGCACGTCTGAATATGTGACTTGTAGGATGACTGTGAAGTGGCACGGATACAGGGGCGGATGGGAATCAGGGACACGACGGGCTCGTTCTCAAATACTCGGACTCGAAAAATCTCCATCTCTGGACCCGACAGAGAATTGCCTTGGAGTCGATGAAGCCGTCGATACGGGTACAGGTGGATGAGGCTGTAGCAGATATACGCCATACGCCACAAGAGTGGCACCGAGGCCAGCATGACATACCAGGCGATTGCAAGTATTAATGTAATGCGAACAGGGGCAATACAGCCATCGGATATATGACGGCAATGTGACGAAGGACCGGCGGCGGAGAGATACAAGTAAGACATGCGTCAAACTCAAAGCTTCAAACATTACTAGGAAACAAGCAGCACGCCGGTTCGGCGTGGCGGACTCTGGACATGCAGATGGGTGCAGCGCCAGCTGAGGTCAAGCTGCAGGCGCTGCCGATGGCACATGGACCAACAAGACAAAGCAAAACACGCTCCACGGGTAGATGCATCTCAGAGAAGACGACGCCGCACAGCCGAGGTTGCACTGGGTTCGCCGGTGGGCTTCCAACGGCTTCCATGTCTGATTTGGATGTCTGGCGCTCTCAGTGTGCGGCTAGCGCGCCTGCGTCTGCGGCCTTTGACCATTGAGACGTCAAGTGGTCCGTGGTCTGTTGCCTTGCCTCGCTCAGGCGTCAAGACACCGACGTGGAGCTTCACCAAGGCTCGCCAGCAGTCAACGTTGCTTCCAGCACGCCAGGCTGAGCCCCCAGCATCCTGATTGCAACGTCGCCACCAGCCGCGGCGCCCCCTCCTGGCCCGTCCGAATCCAGATCCACCACCGAGTCTCCCTCGTCGTGGATCCACGACGCCATTCCGTTCCGGACTCCGAACCCGTCGTTGCCGACGAAGCGTGTCCATCGTCATCATCGGACCATGTCTGTCTTGGTATTCCGCCAACAAGAGTCTATTGTGTTGCGGATGCCGAGGCAGCGACGGCGGCTGTCCTGGCAAAGAAAAAATCCACCTTGACCACCCCCACGGCTCGCGAGGTCGACAGGCACGATTCAGCAGCCGTCAAAACAGCCCTACACTCACGCCCCTTGCCGGAATAATCCCAGCAAACCAGACAGCTGGAACTGGAACCCAGCCGGGATCCACGCCGCCAAGGCACAGCTTTGGCGTGGGTTTTTTAATAGACTCTTGTGGCTCCTGCAGCAGCAGCGCCCACTCTCACCGCCGCTGGTTACGGGACCAATCGCACGCGTGCTCGAACCATCATTTCCGTGTCTGGCCACTGGTACAACACGAATACAATCCATCGCTGCATCCATACGAGGGCGCATCACAGGGGACGAGATTGCAGAGTCATGGCCATCCACACCCCACGGCTGTAGATGCCGAAGACATGGCAGTTGGCACTGCGGACGGGTGGAAAATGCCTTGGCCAGCCTCGAGTCAGCGGTTTGTCTGGTGGGCTTGTGCCGGCGCATGCTGCACTTTGTACAAGGTGCCTTGTTGGGACATCATCGTCGATAGCTAAGCCTAGATGAAGCGCTTTACCATCATGCCCGCCTTGATTCGCGGCAGCCCGCAAAATGCGGCAATTGTGTGTTGATGCGTCAAATCTGTTATCAATAGAGCTCCCAGATACGTGACGTTCGTGCACTACCGCTTTCGCACCCCAGGTCGAATAACAATTCACCGTACCAAACTCCGGCATTCTGAATGGTGACACGTCGAATATAGTAGTCGGCAGAAGGGCGCTCGGCACCAGACTACTCCGTACAACACCGTCCGGGATGACCCGCCGCCGCCTGTCTGTCCATGATGACATCTAGACGAGACAGAATTGTCGTCCTAGTCATCAGGTTGTCATTGTGAGATCTGATCTGACGCCGTCAATGGCTTGCCGGGGCTGTGAGATGATCAGGCCCATGTCTTGATTATCGGACCCGTGATTGACGCCAGGCAACACGAGGATTCGACATGTCTCAAGACACGCATTACAGATCGACGCGCCATGTCCGTGCTGTGGCCGGCACCCTGTGAACAGTATGATGTTTTGGCATGCCGCGAGTAGATTGGGCGGTATGTCGTTGGCGGATTGCGGCTCTCGCTTCATGTCTCAAAGGCTGTCTGGGATCAAGCTGCGACATTGGACACAGACGCATAATGTCGCTTCTGCTGGGGTCGTGCACGGGTTTAGCCACATGTTTGCTCGGAATAAGCTGGCCGTTGCCCGGCACTCAGCCAAGTGGCAGGCCTCGGCGCGCATTTCTCGACACGCATGGGCTACTTGCAGATATTCCAGAGAGCAACAACGAAACCAGCTTAATAATGGATACAGTTTGAATACATTTTATAACGCCGCAACTATTCCGAGACATGGCCCATAATCATCATCTACGTCTAGTCGATGCAGAGCAGCTGAAAACAAAAAAAAAAAAAAAGGGGGGGGGGGGGAAACCCCCCCCTTTCCA